AATATTTAAATACTTATTAATGTGTGTAACAGAACAAGAAGGAAAGAAAGAAGGTGAGGGAGGTAGGGATTTTGAAGAAAGATCCACAGGCGATCATGGAGCAGATTGAGAAGCTAGAAATGATGAGTAAGTTGTTCTACTCGGATGTTTCATGTTGTTTAATAGTTTAATATCTGTTTACATGCAAATTAGCACTTAAACTGAGCAGAGTTTATTGGTGGTGATTAGGCTTCAAAATTAGAAAACTTTATTTGTAATGGGCTGTACCATGTTTTCCCCTCTTTCGGGAAATTTTAGGACTCTACTTTTAATGCTGGGGACTGCACAAGCCTTAGTTGCTAACTGATTTTTCTCATCTGTTTTCCGCTTCCTTTGAAGGAGGTTTTGGTAAATATCTATTGTGGCATTCGGGCATTTGAGCTTGGTTTTAATTAATTATAACTAGTGTGAAAAACTTAGTTTCTAAAACAATTGGAAAAGATCAGTATTTCCTTAAGCAATGTTTTGTCTTTTAAGTCAAGGCTAGGAGGTTTAGATATACATCTTTCTCAGATTAAGTAGTTGTTGGATTGAATGCAGTGTAATGATGGAAATCAATCAACTGTTCCCATTTCTAGATGGCATTTTTAATGAAAATATGATAATCATTGACCATGTGGTCATTGATGTAATAAATACCTATGAAAGTTTTCTTTTCCCTTTTCATTCCTTCTTTCTTTTAATCTGGGGAGAGGTTGAGAGGGTTATTGGTATAAGCGGGCATGAAGAATGTACTCCGAATGAATGTTTAGTGTAAGCAGTTCGAGAATGTTTGTTGTGTAATCTGCAGGTCACCTTGTTCCTCACTGGTGTGTTTGGTTGTTTCTTTACTAATTTTAACTTTGACCTGCTGTCTGCTGGGCTACCAGTTATAGTTATGATTTTGTTGAATTACTGCAGAGGCTGAAGGTGCTTTAGACAAAGCAAGAAAACACAAGAAGAGACAACTTGAAGACACACTTAACCTTGTCTTGAAAAAGAGGAAGGTAAGGATTTGAGTGGTAAAATTTTTTTGGGGAAAAAAATATTGGCTTATGATTTTTCTGCCATTTATTAGATTTAGTTGTCTGCATGACATATCTACTGTCTTTGTTGCTCCTGTGGTCAGGAATATGAAGACAAAATGAAGGAGAAGGGTGAGGCCCCTGTTATGTTCAGGTAAATGGGAATTCCCTTTTTTTTTTTCTTTCTTTTTCTGAAAGGCTGGTATATATTCATCATTGAAATAAAAGAAAACATCCAAACTAGGAGGTTGACAACACCTCCTTCACCTATAAACAAGATCTGCAGATCCACAAAAATCAATCTGCAGTTACAAGAATCGCCCCTGATCTCCCAAGAAAAGCATCATTTACAACCCCCAAACAGACAAAGAGGTCAGCGCAACCTCAACCAAAACAATCAGAGGTAATCAAAGCATTAACAAAAACCAACAAGATCCCCTGTACATACACAAAAATCATTCACAATAATTCCAACAAGAAGCCTAAAAACTCAAGAGATCAAAATACTACGCTTTGAACCCATTCAGCCTGCAAGCACAAGGTGTATCACCGTCATTCCCTTTTTTGATATGATATTTTATGCTTAACTCTTAGCATCTCAATTTTCTCATTTACCAACTGTAGTTTGTCTTCTGCTACAGTCACTTGGGGCCACCTCGGAGAAGGACAACTGCAGAAGAAGAGGAGAGATCGAAGCACCCTAAGCCTGAAGTAAGTTTTGAATCAGACGATTAACTTCTAAAATGATATTTTGATAATATATGCTACTTTTGGAGCCTAATTTTGCAATTTTTCTTACTTGTTATATTAAAAAATTTCTTATCTGCAGGACTCTGTTTACTATCACCCTACTCTGAATCCTACAGGGGCTCCACCACCTGGAAAGCCACCCATGTACAAATCATCAATAGGTTTAGTAACTTCTCTCTTTTTTTGTTTTTGGTTTTCTGCTAAAACATAGTTCTCTCTCCTGCATTTTTGACTTAAATACTTAGCTGGTTTTATTTTCCCTTTCTCTCTCTCTCTCTCTCGTACTTTTTGTCTGTGTTGGTTTTGGCCTTCAGGACCTAGAATTCCCTTGTCTGCTGCATCATCAAGTGCTGCTGCGTCATCCTCAAATACAGAGTCAGAGGATGTTCCTGTAGCTGTTCCGCCTCCACCTCCTCCACCGCCACCTCCTTTGCCAGAGACTGGTATGTCAAACTCAGTGGATGGCTCTGCTGTGCCTGCATCTTTGCCTCTGCCACCCCCACCTCCTATGCCACCCAAGCCTGCCATGGCAAACTTGGGTATTCCTTTGCCTCCACCGCCTGGGCCACCACCACCTCCTGGTCCACCACCTAAAGAGCAAGTTACAGTTCGCCCTCCGCTACCTCCACCTCCACCCCTTCTACAGACTTCACAGCCACCTCCACCTGGAACCAGTGGAAATGAAAAAGAGAAAATATCTGTACTGTCAGATGATTCGACCTCCAAGGAGCTGGCTCAGGTTAGCGCTTTTCATCTGTCTTCTCGAGATTTGCTGTCTATCTGTCTTGGGTATATATTAATTGATTTAGCATATTCTGTGTTTTAGAAGTTAGGAAGTGCAAAGATGTTTATTCTCAGAAAGATCCAAATACCGAGAGCAACAAAATTGTTTAATAGTTCTTCAGAGATATTTTCTGTGAAAAATTTATTAATCTCTCTCTCTCTCTCTCTCTCCCCCCTTCTTAGGCGCCTCCTGTCCTCCCTCCCCATCCTCCTGGAATGCCCCCTAAATTGGCAATTAGCCAGGCTGAAGGTGCTCCCTCAGAAGCTGATGCCAATAACCATCCAGCCACAAAAGAGGCTCCTAAAATGGTTCTGCCACCCCCGCCCCCTCCCAGACAACAACCTCCAGTGCCTGGACCTGCCATGGTCCCGGCCTTACAGCCTGATGTATTCCCCCCTGGAATATCACGTTTCCCTCCACCACCACCTCCAGACATGCGGGCACCCCTATCTGCTACTGGACTTCCTGGTCAAGCTGCTCCTCCTGGAATGATGGTCCCACTAATTCCAAGACCACCTTTTGGCCCTCCACCAGGACCTCCACCAATGATGAGACCACCACTTCCACCTGGTCCTCCTCCTACTGCACTGGATGATGATAATTCTGCAAATCGACCACTCTTACCACAGAAGCCATCATATGTTAAATCTGCTGCATCTACTGTTGTTAAGCGGCCATTGGCTCAGCACCAACCGGAACTTACAGCTATGGTGAGTCCACTTTCCTTTGCTAGTTTTGTGTTGCTTTAATACTTATTTTTGGCCATGATTTGATATATTCATGCATGCATGAGAAATAGAATAGTTGGAATTTAGTGAACAACATTGCTGGCTCTAAGTGGTTAAACTATTTCTAACTGACCTCTGGTCATGCATAAGTGAGTATGGGAGGTGTTCTTGACTGAACACCTTGGATATTGCCTTACCAGATTGTCTTTGGATTATGATATATTGATATGTGGCATGTATCTTCTCTCTGTGGTATGCCTATATCAAAATTGAGTGAGTGCTTTTTTTTGCATTTATTTTGATTTTGGATGTTGAATTGCATAAGCAGTTCCTCCCTCTCCCCTCCAGCTAATAGCATTTCTTTTAGATCACCTTTAAGGACCCTGCAAACCTACAAGTCAGGAGTAAGAAGAATTCTTTGCTTTTGCATATGGTTAATTATGCACTGTCTCTATTTTCTGCCATATGTGATAACAGCTCTAAGCCAAATTTGTTCTCTAAACTTGAAAACTAATTCTGAAAAATAAATAATACTTACCTGAACACTAATAACTTCCTAATACCAGTGTGCTATGTCTGTGTGTTGCCAAGACTCTAGAAAAGGGCTGCATATGTGTTCCTGATTTAAGCTTTTATTGGTTTTAGGTTCCTGCTTCAGTTCGAGTCAGGAGGGAGACTGCTGCCCCAAAAGCAAAACCAAAGCCTTTACTCTCAACCACTACAGTGAACGCTAAGCCTGTACCTCCTACCATTGCGAATTCAGAATTAACCTCATCATCAGCTCCAAAGGGACAGAGTATTGATGACTCGTACATGGCATTCTTGGAGGATATGAAGGCACTCGGTGCACTTGATAGCTGATATTTGCTATAGCTGTTGAGATGCCAAGGAAAAGAGGAGCCACCAGTGCAATCAGAATGAAGCATGTACAAGCTATTTTTACAGATGTCGCTTGAGCGATATTTATTGATCTTGGGGACCATTTTTTCGATGTTTTGTTTTGTCATGGTGTCTCATTTTTCTGTTGTCTAACTTCCAAACCTTCGCAGTTGATGAGATTGTGTAATTCTGGGCAATTTTCCTCAAGTGAATGATAAAATATATCTGCTCCAAGCAACATAGGAAGTTTACTTGCATTTGGACATTGGAAATTGTATTTTTTCCTACAATTTACTCCACTGATTTTGGGCACTGACTGATTGTATGTATTATTGATTAACTGTTGCTCTGTTAACTGACAAAGTATACTTAATAAAGAGTTTAGGAGATTTGTCTCTACTTTATATTTAAGTTGTTCATTTTCGTTCTTTTCTTGTTATGGTCACATACTCCTTGACAGTCGATTTATTAGAACCTTCTTTGATTGACAGTAAAATTTTGCCAATACTTGAATCTTACTAAGGTTAAGTCGTAAGTGTTAACCTTGTAATGGTTCGCTGAATATTCTTCTGGAAATTCGCATAGGATAGATTGCCAAAAGACTACTACTACTGCTACTACTTTCTATATCGTTTTGTCAAGACTAAGCCTTTCTTGGGGATCCAAAAATGCGTTTTGTAAAGACAATTTGTAACCTCAATACAATGGTTGAGTGATTCTATGGAAATAAAATAAACTGCTCCTTGGAATTGCAAGGGCAGATTTAAAACCTGCATGTTTAGCTATTTGTTCTAAGGTCAATTGCATACCAGAGATATGGCAGATCTTTCTGTTTTGTTCCTGCTTTCTACATTGTTTTCCTGTCATTCTTTCTCAAGTTACATGTGCACTGATTTGAGTCTCTCTCTCTCTCTTTTCTATCTATTTTGTATTAGCATTCCGAGCTTGTCTTTTTGTTCCATTAAAATTTATTACTTCTGTTCTGAATTTTGATGCAGGAGCTCCGCTTAAGCTGGAGAAGCCACTCAACTTTTGTTCATACACTGGAAGTGCCTGCTGTGACTCTGCTAAAGATTTGCAGATGCATAAAAGCTTTCAAGCTTTGAACGTTTCTGATGCAGCATGTGCTTCTGTCTTGAAATCTATTTTATGTTCAGTAAGTAAAGCACCAGACCGCAGCTTTTAGATAGTGCTACATTCTGGTTTGACTCTGTTCTCTTGGAAATCTCCTGTGTCTCTTTTCCCCGATCCCTCATTCAAAATGAATCAAATAAATTTTGAATCCCCAGTTTTCTGAACTATGCTGGTGCTTCAGTATCATTTCTGAATACTACACAACTCAAAGTTTTGCTGTTAGTTAAAGATGACAAATAGAAAATCTCATTGGATAATCTGAACTAAAAGCAAGAAGAAAAATGAACTAAATACTAAGATTATGAGGTATTAGCAACCCCTACTAACTGTCTTTTTACTATAAAGTCCACTTTGTTCTTCAAATATTCATGTCCCAAACCAGATAGTATATTCATTTAAGCAAACAAAACTTGGTGTCTTTATATCAGAGGGTTGTATATATCCTTACATTTTGTTGTGCTTAACATGAGTCACTGTCATGAATGGCTAAGGGAAATAAGAAATCAGAACCAGTGATATTAATTTTTTCCAAGGAATAAAATTAAATAAATTCTCCTACTTATTTACTCTGCTTTCAACAAGTGGGAAGCCATGATTAGCTTGTTTACTCTTTAATACATACTTTCTGTCTATTCTAATAGTTTTCTGTTCACAATTGCAGGCCTGTAGTCAATTTTTTGCTGAGTTGTACGAAGTTAAGTCAGGGATCAGAGAAGTTCCAGTTCTTTGCAACTCCACAGGAACACATAAATCACCTCACTTCAGCACTGGTGCTTCAATTGCCTTCTGTCAAAACGTATGGGATCTATGTGGGAATATATCCATATTGAATTCTCCATTTGTGCAATCAAAACTGGGCAGATTTGGAATTATAAGTTCCTCTCCTTCGAAGTTAGTGGATCAATGGCAGTCCAGGAAAGATTTTTGTGAAGCATTTGGTGGGCCTTCAGATGAAGGTGAAGTCTGTTTCGATGGAGAATCTGTTTTGTTTGAGCATGAAGGAGCTCCTCAACATCCAGAAGGCCTGTGTCTTGAAAAAATACAAAATGGGGCTTATCTTAATTTGATACCACATCCAGATGGCTCTAATTGTGTCTTCTTGTCCAACCAAAAAGGTAAGATATGGTTGACAAATGTTCCTGATGTTGGATCAAGTGAGGTTTTGGGGATTGTTGAGTCCCAACCGTTTCTAGACATAACTGATCAAGTGCTCTTTGATACTGAGTTTGGTTTAATGGGAACGGCATTTCACCTGAACTTTGCAAACAATGGTTGCTTCTTTTTGTCATTCAATTGTGATAAGATGAAACAGCAAGGGTGTTTTGGTAGATGTTTATGCAACATAGACGTGAATTGTGATCCCTCAAAGATTGGTGCTGATAATGGGATCCAGCCATGTCAGTACCATAGTGTTATTGCGGAATTCACTGTCAATGGCACTGCACCAAAACCTTCCATGGTACACGTTCACACGTTACTGTTAATTTGTTTCTAAAACCTCTCTCCATATGATTCTAATGGAATTACGTTAAATGTTTTGTTTTTGCAAGTCAAAAAGAGCAAATCTTCTGCAGGTGAGAAGGATAGGAACAATGGGTCTGCCATACAGGGGGGTCATGCAGGACAGCTTCTTTTTGGACCTGAAGATGGGTATCTCTACTTGACAATGGGAGATGGTGCACGCAAAGATGATCCTTACAATTTTGCACAGAATAAGAAATCCCTACTTGGAAAGATATTGAGATTTGACATCGATAACATTCCTAGTAAGTATTTGTGGACCAAAACATATTTTTCTTTCTTGAGCCATCAACTATTTGTTTTATCTTTAAATTGTCCTTGATGCAGAATATGCAGAGATGTACAAAACGTATACGCCCTTATAGCTATATGCTTTCAATTATGGTTTCCAAATGAAGATATTTATTTTGTATGATCAGTTTAGAAAACTCAAAGAAAATATATAGCAATAAATGTACCAATGCAGTTCAATTTCCTTCCTTCAATATGTAAATTTAACTTCTTGAGAAGTTCATGGTGACTTGTTCTTTGCCTGGTATGTCAACCAATAACTTTACACATAGGAAATCTTTTCTCTTTATATCTACCATCGATGCTTTTGTGCTGAAAGTTAATTGCATATGGTTGATGACAAAATATTTGTAGTTTTGCTGAACTATGATGCTAAAGTCTGCAACAATTTTGTCATTCATGTTTTCAGTTTACAGGACCTAGATAATAAATGTTCTTGGCTTCGTAATATATATCAGAGAGTTGGGTAGTGATAGTGCTAAATAATCTAACGCTAGCTTGCCAAATGACCAGGTGAAAAAGAAATAAACGACCTTGGTCTATGGGGAAATTATTCTATTCCAAGAGATAATTCATATGTAGAAGACAGGGAACTGGCACCTGAGATCTGGGCGTTTGGATTTAGAAATCCTTGGCGCTGTAGTTTTGATTCAGAAAGGTCTTCCTACTTCCTCTGTGGAGACACTGGACAGGTTTGGAGAGCATATATTATCTACTTCATATATTTTCCTTATTCAGATGTTAATTCTTGATTCTATTCCAAGATATTGATGCAACTATTTGAAAGTTTCAATGCTATTCTTGATTGCTTCTGAAATCAGCAGTATTGATCTTTGCTCCTGAAAGTAAGAAAAAGAACTTTTGAAATATTAATAAGATGGTAATACTCTAATTTCTGAAATCTTAGCATGGACTGCGTCCTACATATTGATCATTCTATAGACCGTGTGAAGTAAATTATTTGAGCACTGAACATCAAGGACTTCAGAGTTCAATCTTGAATTCTTTATCTCTCTTATTTACCTATTACCAATTAGTTCACTGTGTGGCTCATTTACCTCTTGATTGCTAATGTTCCGAATAGGATCAATATGAAGAAGTTGATATTGTCACAAAGGGAGGAAATTATGGCTGGCGGGTATATGAGGGACCCCTTCCTTTCCATCCACAACTTTCTCCTGGAGGAAGTACCCCTCCTAGTTCAATGAGTCCTATCTTTCCGGTAATGGGTTATAGTCACTCTGAGATAGATAAGAATCTTGGATCAGCCTCAATAATAGGTTGTTTTTTCTATCGGTCATTGGCTGATCCATGCATCAATGGGAGGTTAGAACTTGGTCTTTTAAGCAATTGTGTGTTAGTAATGTCTTTTAACCAAATGTTATTCTCCTCCATGCATCGAAAGTTTCTTTCTTTACTTGTGTTTAATAACCATCATGATCCTAATTTAAAATTCCAGGTACATATACATGGATTTGTATGGGGAAGCTGTCTGGGCAGGGAGCGAGTATCCTTCAAACAGTGGCGACTTCACTACTTCAAGAATTCCTTTCAGATGTGCTCATGACACTCCAATCCCATGTGTCATCACAACAGGAAGTTCTTCTCCTTCCCTCAGATTTGTGTTCTCACTTGCCGAAGATAACAGGAAAGATCTTTATATCCTAACAAGCACAGGCGTTTATAGAGTTGCAAGACCAAGCCGTTGTAACCTCAAATGTTGTAAAGAAATTGTAGCAAATGTGACTCCAACATCACACTCTTCATCTTCCATAGCTATCAATGTCTTGAAGGGTTGCGGATTTATTGGTCTCCTTGTCTTCTTTGTACTAGTACTTAGCTATCAAAACTACTAAAGAAGGGTAGTTGTCCTGGATCAAGCATTTGCAACTTGAGGATAAAGTGGCTTATCATGGATTATATTAATGCCATGGAACAATTGGGCAAGTGTTCCACCGATCCTGTTAAAAGCGCTGAACATTTTGCTGACTTTTGTACATGATGTGCACTTTGGGGAAGAGATCATAATTGAAAAACTATAAATTGTTCACAAAGAGAGGCAGGAAGCTACTCGCTTGACATTCCCCCATGTTTTGAGTAGCTAATGCAGATATGGAGTTGCTTTTCCTTGACAAAGTAGGTGAGCGGGCATTGATTTATATGATGAAGCTGCAGATAGCGTGGAGCTATGGAAATTCTCTGCCTAATACTAAAACCATCGTTTTTCCATTCACTAGATATAAAAATGAAAGAGAAGAACAAATTACTAGATTAATAGATAATTGGGTCAATGCTTATTATTTTAAAAGATGTTGATTGTTGATGACACATGGGATTGGAGAAGATTGGATGACATCAAAGTGTTGGAATACAAAACATGGAGACAAGTCGGTGTTTGTTAAGATATCCCAAGTGATAAATGGTGCTCTTGCTACTGTCCTGCAGTTTTAGATCTATTTGTCTTTAGCATACATACAGGACATCATTATCTGTAAGACATGGTCACTTACATCATGGCAACTACTCATTAATATCGGTATTGATATAAATATTATCTTCAAAGAGACATAATGGCATAATTTGTAAATATATCAAATATCATCAAGACTTAGTTTTGGTGTTTACTCCAACATAAACCGTGTTTAATATTTTATCAAGGAAATATCGCCAGCAGTTGCAATATTTTTGTGTTAGAAAGCAACACCGATTGAAGGAAGGGATGTGCAAAAGGTCCATTCCATTGGATATGTATTAAAATTTTAAAAATAAAAAAAAAATCAAATTTATTTTATGTTAAAACCAAATCAAATAGAACCGGATTATTCTATATTACTAAATTTTAAGATAATATATATAAAAATAAATTTCAACATGTTCAAGTAAATTTAATATATATTCTCTAAATGTTGTAAAAATTAAAAAATATATATTAACATATATATATATATATATGTGTGTGTAATAATTTAATTTTTTTAATTTAAATTCGATTGTTTCAACTGTTTGGTTAAAAAATTTAATCACCAAAATTCAAATCGAATTAACTAAAATAATCAAACTTGTAAAATCCAACACTTTGTAAACTGCTCTAATCAAATCGAAAAGCTAAAAACATTTTGATTTGGTCAATTTTTTCGATTTGGGATGATCTTACTTACCCATACTTGAAGTCATGTTTATGAAAATCATTCAAGTCTCTCATTCTCATGAATTAATTATAAGCGAAATTTTTTTATTTGCCAGGTTCCATAATAATTGAATTGAAGTTTCTTACTTTCTCTTTTGCCTTTTGCCTTAAAATTTTATCTTGGATCAATTATAAGATCTGAACGACAACTTAGACAAAGTTTGAATTGTTCAGTAGTAATAACTTGCGAGTATTGATAGTTAACTGAAAAGAAGTTACCAAACTGATAATGAGAAAAAAGACAGCAAAACAGAGGTTCCGGTCATCGTTTGATGGATTAAATAAGGGGGGTTGGGTGAATGTTTTGGCACCCACCAACCATCAGCTGAAGCAGTTCCTGGCCCGGTAAATCTTCTTGTTTTTTCAACTTTCTTTATCCCAATAAATATGTCATATGTGTGTAAATGTCTACATATATTTGTTTAAAACAGACTTGTTTTTTCTACATATATTTGCCTTGGTCAAACTGGAAAACAGTTGTGCCGTGGCCCACGGCCATGCCACCTCTAAACCAAAAGAAGCAAGTTGGGGCTTTGGGTGCATTGATTTTCCTGTCTCCACATTCAAAAGTCGCAGCATCTTTAACACTCTTTAACAATTGTAAGTAGACCATCAGACCCAGACCCTTTGGCCTTCTCGTTCATTCATTATTCTCTTCTTTTAGAATGAACAGTATTACAGTCTGTGATGGATCATGTACCTGTCTTTTGTGTTTCTCTCTCTCTCTCTCTCTCTCTCTATATATATATATATATATACAAAAGTCCTTTCTCTTGTCTGTTTCTTCTAGTTTTGATGTCATCCCGGTCGTTAGCTTCCCTTCTTTTCTTTCATTTTTTTAAAACCTTTTTTGAATGATAAAATGAAACATCTTGCCAAGTTGTTTTATTATTTATGTTCGAATATTATGACCATGCTTTGGGGCTTGTGCTTCGGTGGTGGTGTTGGGGTTTAAATACAATATTACACCAAGCAACTTAGAAAGTACAGACACGTTGAACCAACCAAGATCTGATCTATCGCAACTTGGTCTTGTGGGCAAAAAGACACCCAAAAAAGAAAGGGGCCTTCTAGTAGTTTTACATTTTTTTAAAGTCTCACCCACTCTCTCTGGTTCTTAATAAAAAAAGTTCAGGTCAACAAATGCATACCGGCCAATTAATGTCTCAATATCTGTTTGAAAGCAACTGACAATGTCTTGGTGATTTTCAACTTTTTAAGTCGAAGGACAAAATGTCAAAAGTTTGCGTTAAAAAAGGATTGGAATTAGGAAGAAAGGGAGAAAATTGAAATCAAGCTTATTTCTGGAAAGGGTGGTTCAAAAAATAAAGGTTGATGGAGAAAAGGAGTTCAATTGATGTAGAATGAATAAAAGATTCAAAGGGTATTTGAAAATGAATTTCCTTCTGGAAGCTGAGTTAAGGAGATTTTGATGTGGAGAGAGATGATGGGAGTGCTGAGAGATAGAGTAGATGGAAGAGGGAAGAATGTTCAAAAGCCAGCAAGGAAAGCCACTTGTTGTATATGATCTTATTTTGTACCTGAAGTCAACTCAGTGGTATTTCTCTAAAGATGCTCTGAGGTGTAGATAAAATAAAGGGTGTCATAGCAGTAGCTGCGTTTCTCTACCAATTTGGTGTGATGGAAGGTGTTTTTGCTATCATCTTCCTCTTCTCCAACTTGCTGTTGCTTCCTTATCCCTCCTCTTCTTTTCCTTTATGTACAAATTCCAGTAAGTTCTGCACCTAAAACTAATAGTTGCTTGTTTCAGTTTCATGAAGTGATTAACCATTTTTATTTATTTTACTACTTCTGCAATTATATGCCTGAATTTCCAATTTTTTTTCCCCTTTATTCCTTTCTCTGCTGTAGGGGCACCTCTCACCTTGAACACCACGCTCAAATTTTGTTCCTACAATGGAAGCAGCTGTTGCAACTCCACAGAAGATTCACAATTGCAGAGGCAATTTCAAGCAATGAATATCTCTGATCCCAGCTGTGCCTCACTTCTGCAATCAGTTCTCTGTGCAGTAAGACTTTCATTTCTTCCATTATTGATATAAAAAAAGAAAAGAAAAGAAAAGAAAAAAGAACGTGTTAGTTCTGGGTCAAATTTCAAACCTTGCATTGGTTTAATGCATAATTCATGAGATTTTGATGTAGGATCTAAAATGAAGCAATTGTAGGGCACTTGTATTCTGATTTTCAAGCAGCTTTCTTTGATTGTAACCTGATTCTACATGTACTCTGGTGGGAAATTGGAATATGAGGTTAAAAATCTCTTCTAAAGATTGCATTATTTGCCTGTATATGGCTGTAAGTATAGACTTGGAATCTCCTTTCCGATTGTTTGTTTGATCCCTCATGCACATCAGAAATGAAGATTTTCATGTTGGCAGTTTTCTGTTGAATTCTGGATGGACTGCACGGGTTTATAACTTCATAAAGGAATTCAGTTGCCTTAATAGTTATATTTAATTACTTATAATACTGTTCATATTTTGTTGGGGTAATAATTCAGATAGCTAGAGTATTTATCATAGGGTTATAGAATTTTTCAATTTTCAAATTTTCCCCTCTTGATGAGTGATGGTTTTGTTTCCCTTTGTTTCTGATGATGTAAAAGATGAGAAAACAAAATCTAGAAGTCTGCAACCATATTCCTGTGGCAACCAGTAGAAGCTTCTAATTTTCTCTGAAGAATAGACAAGTTTTGAGTGGAATGTTACAGATAAAGAATACTACTATAATTGCTGAACTAGTAACTTGGTTTGTTTCATCATGACTGCCATGAATTTGCACAGTACGCAGATGATGAAAAAATAAAAGAAATATCTTGTATGAATTACAAAAAATATTTTCCCGAAGTGTATAAGTAAAGAAAACCTGCTAAATGAGCTTGAATACAGTTTCTGTTGTTACTTATTTTCTCTCTCTCTCTCTCTCTCTCTAATCAGTTCTCTCAAAAGGTTTTACCAAGTTTACATTCTTTGTATGATTGTCAGAGATGTGATCCATTTTCAGCAAAGTTATTTACAATCGATTCTGTGCCCCGACCAGTGCCTCTACTCTGCAACTCTACTGTTTCAACAAATTCATCTCAGTCTAACCAAGCAACAAATGATTTCTGCTCTCAAGTATGGGATACATGTCAAAATGTATCTATACTAAATTCCCCCTTTGCACCTTCATTACAAGGGCAAGCTGGAGCACCAGTCAATTCAAATTTCACCAAACTGACTGAACTTTGGCAGTCAAAAACTGATTTCTGCAATGCATTTGGTGGAGCATCTACTGATGCATCAGTTTGCTATGATGGCAAACCTGTTACACTAAATGAGACTGGAACTCCTACTCCTCCACATGGCTTATGCCTTGAGAAAATCGGGAATGGAAGTTACCTAAATATGGTTGCTCATCCAGATGGGTCAAACCGTGCATTCTTCTCCAATCAACAAGGTAAGATTTGGTTGGCGACTATTCCTGAGGTGGGATCTGGAGGAACATTGGAGCTTGATGAATCCAACCCCTATATAGATCTTACTGATGAAGTTCATTTTGACACTGCATTTGGGATGATGGGTATTGCATTTCATCCAAACTTTGCACAGAATGGCCGATTCTTTGCCTCATTCAATTGTGATAAGGGTAAATCGCCAGGATGTACAGGAAGATGTTCCTGTAATTCCGATGTGAACTGTGATCCTTCAAAACTACCTACAGACAATGGTGCACAGCCATGCCAGTATCAAAGTGTTATTGCAGAATATACTGCCAATGGTACCGGATCCCAGCCTTCCTCGGTACACACCTTACACACTTGAAACTTCTTCCAAATTTTTTAGATCAAAGATTAAAATTGAATTATTCCTTTTTCAGGCAAAAACTGCTAAATCATCAGAAGTGAGAAGGATTTTCACTATGGGCCTTCCCTTTACTTCTCAACATGGTGGACAGATACTTTTTGGACCTACAGATGGGTATTTATATTTTATGATGGGGGATGGTGGTGGTGATGGTGATCCCTACAATTTTGCTCAAAACAAGAAATCAGTGCTTGGAAAAATCATGAGGCTTGATGTAGATGATATACCAAGTGAGTATCAGCTTTGAGTGGTTCATACCAACTCTTTAAATGCTGACATTTCTTCTTGCTAGTTGGTAGTTTCTGCTGCCTTATTGCATATATTCTTTGTATGCGTTCTCCAACCCTCTTTTCTCCCATTGGACTGCACCCTCCATGAATCAACTTCTGCCTATTTTACACTGCCTGCCTATGTACAAGTCTTGTGGGAACCTATTAATCTGCATTTATTTTGATAATTTAAGGTAATTAAAAACTCTAAACACCTGTTTATTTGTCATTCATGATAATCAAATATTTAGTTCTTTCACTGAACCAATATCAGTATTAAAAAGTTAGATTTCCTTGCATCATTCAGGTGTTTGTTACTCATTTCAACTGACAGCTCAATATGTGGTTCCAGGTGCAGCAGAAATTAATAGACTTGGTCTATGGGGAAACTACTCTATCCCCGAAGACAACCCATTTAGCCAAGATGAAGAATTGCTGCCTGAAATATGGGCTTTGGGATTGAGAAATCCTTGGCGTTGCAGTTTTGACTTGGAGAGACCTTCCTATTTTATGTGTGGGGACGTTGGCGAGGTTTGACTTTTCTCTTCTAATAACTATAGACAGGCAACTAATATACTGTCATTAGTCAACCAAAATAGGAGTGTGGATTAAAAAATCTACGCCCTCTCAGCTCCTATTGTTCTGTTTCATACAAGTTTAAGAATGCGAGCTCTGCAGGTTACATAAACATTCCCCTAAACCCTGCAATAGCTTTCTGTTTTCATTGTTTCTAATTTCTGAGAGAATGCACCATAAAGGAGACATGTGGCCATCCTCCTCAATTTGTTATTTCCCACCCTTTTGTCTTAAACATCACATGCCGAGAAAATAAATTAGTCAACCTGGCCTGCTGGGATTTTCTTACTAGTTTGATGTCAGAACATTTTTAAGTTGCAGCAATGCCTTTGACTTTAATCTGTTGTAGTGGTTAGGACTACATGACATTGATTACCATCAGCATCATTTTTATTTAAATGAGATTAAACTAAAATCCAGGGTACGTGTGATCAAATTCTGAATTTACTGTAAGTTTGTAACTCTACAGGATTTGTATGAAGAGGTCGACATCATCAGCAAGGGTGGAAATTATGGTTGGCGTGTGTATGAGGGCCCATATCCTTTTAATCCTACATCGTCCCCTGGAGGGAATACATCTATAAATTCCATAAGCCCCATTTTCCCAGTTATGGGATATAACCACTCTGAAGTAAACAAGAAAGTAGGATCAGCCTCAATTATAGGAGGTTACTTTTACAGGTCCAACACCGATCCTTGTATGTATGGGAGGTGAGTAATCTCTGTTCATTGACTAACAAGAAAACAAAGCAGGTGTTTGTTCACAGACAGGACAAAATATTTTCCTGTCACAGCTACTCTTGAAACTTGAAGCTTCCTTTTGTTTGTTTCCGTAGGCAGCTGAGGCTACCAACTCTTCATTATAACTGATCAATTCTTGCTGATGTTGGTGGGGGGTTACAGGTACTTGTATGCAGATTTGTATTCTGGTGCTCTATGGGCCGGAACGGAAGATCCTGAAAATAGCGGCAACTTTTCGACAGGCACTATTCCTTTTGGGTGTGCAAGAAACTCTCCTATACAATGCAGCACCGTGCCAGATAGTGCTCTTGCTGCGTTGGGTTACATTTACTCATTTGGGCAGGACAATAGGAAAGATATTTACTTGCTAACCAGCAGCGGAGTTTACAGAGTTGTCCCTCCAAGTCGATGCAGTTACACTTGCTCCAAGGAAAATGTTACCGCAGTCGAAAGTCCAAGTCCTACCACTTCACCACCATCACATGCAAACCAGTTGCATCCGGCATTCCTATTATCTGCTTTGTTGCTGCTTTTGTATAACCTTTTCTAACGCCAGTAGTATGTTCTGGTGAGTGTAGAGACTCGAAAGGTTACTTTTTCTGTCTTTGTTATTGTTTTTCTGGGTTAATAAAAGAGATGTAATTTTGGTTGCTTTAAGATTCTCTACTGGGATTTCGGAACCCCAACTTGCTTGTAGTGCTTATATTTATATCCTTTTTGGTAGAACAGAGGTTCAAAGCAGCGAAAAGGTGGGAGGAGTTTAAAAACAGAACCAGAAAAGAATAACATTAATTGATTTATAATGTTATAGAGAGAGCTACCAACATAATAATGTAGTTTTTAGGATGCATGCTCTGTGTTAGGATCTAAGGAGGGCATGAACCAGGAGGTCTAAGCAACCACTTTAATCAATATGTATGGGTTAGTCATCCATTATATCCATTCATACAATCAATCAACATAAATATATTCTATGCATGGATGTTATCACATAGTTATGGAACTTCTCAACATAGTGTGAAATACTTTTTTCCATAAATAACATTTGTATAATATTTATTTCATATTAACATGTAAAATGCACTCTTTGATGCTCACAAAAGCTCTTTAAGTCATTAGATATCTCAAAATATGAAATCCCGACAAGTATAATGCCAATCAATAGCTTTAACATTAAACATGCTTAATAGCAGATAGATAAGATTTAAAGATTGAATTATCCGCAGAACATGACCCAATTCTCTATGCTTCAACTAGCTGCTAGATTGCCTATAAAGAAAAAACTGAATCTTATCTCCATGACAAGGGTAGAAGCTAATCACTAATTTGCAAAAAAATGAAAAACTAATGTGGTAACTCTATTTTATAAAGTTATTTGATCATAATTTTGGGTGATTTTGTTTGAGTTCTTGAGATTTAATTTAAGTATTAATTATTTTCAGTCATTTATTTTATTTAATTATAATGGGTGCAATTTTGTTAAGTTATTTTATAATATTTTACTTTAAGTTTAATTATTATTTAAGGTAGTTTATTGCTTTTTTAGGTGCGTTATGAAAAGTATGACGATTTGTGAAGAGGAATGCATTCAAGCATTTGGCTCATTAGTTGGTGCATGATCTATTTACCTAAAGAGTAAGGCTCAAATCTCCCCTTCCCCAATTATAAAAAAAATATACAAATTTTAATTGCACATGTTTCGGTATTTCAAGTATATCTTTCATTACAGAAGTCCAATTAATGGAATTCTTAAACCATTGCAAAGATAAGAGGTAGAGCTACAACTTTTATATTTACTACTTCACCTTGTTTAGTTTAAAAGGAGGTCAAATATCATGTTGAAGTGAAGTAGTGTAGTAGAACAAGGTGAGCAAGGTAGAGTCTTAGGTGTCACTGCCTCCACCAAGCCAGCACCACTGTGTCCTTATCCACAAAGATGCCTCAGATGTGAAGAAGCTTCGACACTGTGACTACCAAGTCCCTAGAGGTGTGACACCCAAAAAAGAATTTTGAAAAAAATAAATAAGTGGCGGCATTTGTAAAGAGAATGGAGTTCTCATGCCACCAGACTTCTATTTTGACACGAACATGAGCCCTGTTTAATCCTTCCTTTAGAAACATGTTAAAAGGAGATTGGAGAGAAAGTAAAAAGAAAAAATTAAGCAAGGTTTTCTAGAAAAAGGAGGCATTGAAGGTAGCAAGAAAGTAAGGAAAGCAAGGAAGATTGCAAATAAAAAGATTAACAAATATTAGTGTTCTTTCTTTTCTTGTTATCTTTATACTTTTTTGTTTAGTTTTTGATGGTTGAATTTCATTTTTGGATGATGTTTTTAGGAATTATGTTGAATTAAGTTTTTAATTTAGAATCACAGTTGAATCCAATGCATAGTCTAAATTTTAATATTCTTTCTTACTTATGATTGATAGTATTTGAGCTGCTTATTTTAATCCTATTCTTATTGCACTTGATTGCTTGATCATCGATTAGATTGATTTAGAAATCTAAACTGAGCTAAAAAAGGGAGTTTAGAGTAAGTCATGGATGAAATAGCATATGTTCAGTATTAATTGCATAAGATGATTGATCTGACTTGTGTGTGGAGTAGGAATATACTTACATGTCATATGTAGCCATAATTGGAATCTAAGTTTAATGAGTCTTTCTTGATTTCAAATTATATAGGAATATAGTAAATTGGTTAAGGAAGATGCTTTTATAAGAATATTGGAAGACACTTATTAATATATTAGAACTTTAGGTTAACAATTTAGGCCTATCCAATAAGTAAAGAAGGATTAGAAGAAATTTAAATAAAATATTGAGGGGATATTTTGGTTCTAGACTTTTGGTTGATTGATTAATTAATTGAATTGATATTTTTATTTTCAATTCTAGTTTTAATTTTAGTTTCTTTAATTTTCAGAAGTTTTAAATTTGGTTGTTTGGATAAGATTGAGTTGTTTTAATTTTAGTAATTAGCAAAAAGATTTGATCAATTCTTCGTAGGAACAAACTTTACTTTCATTATATTACTTGTTAATGATACGTGCATTCACTTATACGGTTTATCCAATAAACAAGTTTTTGACATTGATGCTGGGGAATTGTGCCAAATTTTCTTCATTAATATTAATATCAAGGAATCTTCGTTTTAATTCAAACTTTCTTTTTCTTTGTTTTCAAGTATTTTTAGTTGTTGTATACGAAGAGTGAGAACTTTGGATATTATTCCTTTTGATCCATAAATTGGAAAGACTTTTTGAAAACTCAAGAGGGAAAATTTACAAGCTTCTTCTCACATTGAAAACAATGACTAATTAACAAAAAGAAAGCAAGTCCTTGTGAGAATATGTTGTACCTTTCGTTCAAGGCCTTCATTCAAGCATCTGTAGACCTACCATCCAAGCCAATAACGTTAAAATTAAACTTCCAATCATTCACATGATTCAGACTTTTCTTTAGTTTCGGGGATTGCCAAATGATCTTAATGCACATATTGTGAATTTCCTAAAGATTTACGATACATTTAAGATTAAGGGTGTTTCTGATGATGCTATTAGATTGACGCTTTTCCTATTTTCACTAAGAGACAAGGCACAGAGTTGGTTGAATTCACTTCCAGCTAGTTCCATTAGTACATGGGATGATTTGGCTAATAAATTCTTAGCTATATTCTTTCCACCAACTAAGACAGCTAAGATGCGAAATGACATCATCTCCTTTACACAACTTGATTTAAAATCACTATATGAGGCTTAGGAAAGGTATAAGGATTTGCTTAAGAGATGTCTTCACCATGGGTTTGTTGGTTCCAAATAAATGTGCTAGAGAGGGGTTAATAGCACTTTTCAACTCTCACTAAACTTGATTTCAAATTGGGAGAAAGTAGAAAGTCTATGATGAGAAGTTTGATGCAAGATGAAGGAATGATTCAATAAAGAATGAAAATGAAAGATAAAACAGAGCAGACAATGCACAAAGATTTATAGTGGTTTGGTTAAAGATCTACATCCATTACCTTGATTGTTCAACCAAGGATTTTCCAAACCAAATCAATTCTCAAGCTTCCACCAAGCTTTTACAATGACTTTTCACAATCTCAGCCACAACCTTTAACAATGGTTTTTCTCGGGATCAACTAAACCCAAAACTAACATTTTCTAAGCTGAGTTAGAACTTATACACTCAATCAAACTAACCCAAGCTTGATCAATCCTCTTAGAGTGACTTACACACTCTAAGTAATCAAGTAGAATAGAAATAAAGAAGTATGTATGATCACTAAACTAATTTGAATGGTACAAAGTGAAGTGCTTAATTTCATTACAAGGATTGTAGTGAAGTGCAGAAAGTATGGAGAGAGTTTTTACTGTTATTGAGCTCTTTTTGATCTTAGAAGCCTTCAAAACTAATTCATAGCTGTTAGGAGTACCTTATATACTTGAAAAATCAACTTTGATAGGTGTTAGATAGATTCAAACCATTGGAAACGGTTTGGAAACAATTCTAGCTATTAATATGTTTTCTAGCATTCAAATTCAAATTTTCATATAGAATGCTCTTAGTCGACTAACATGCTTCTTAGTCAATTAAGTCATTTCTATCTTCTGATCCTAGCTTCTGGTAGTGATCTCTTAGTCTACTAACAATGCTTTTTAGTCGATCAAGTCATTTCTGTCTCCGAACCCAGTTTTTAGCAGTAAGCTTCTAGTCAACTAATAATGTCTCTTGGTCAACTAAGTGTTCTCTGTCTCGCAATCTACTTGAACCAACTTCATTTTTGAATTTTATCCAAATAACTCTCTTGATTATTCAACTAAGAGGCTTCTATTTTATTACTCAATTGTAGCTCCTCATTCTTATAAGTTTTGATATTTACTTTTGAATAATTAATTTATTGTTTAACATACATTTTTATCTTGAACACTTAAATAGAAAAGTTAGACATAAATAAATGAGAATGTTTTATTATCATCAAAAACTACTAGAGCCAACAATCTCCCCCTTTTTGATGATAACAAAACATTCCTTGAATAAAGGCACAATGTTTATTAATTTTGTTTGCTCTGCACAAGATGAGGATTTTTCCCCCTGAATGTGTGCTCCCTATTAGTATATGCATGATCTTTTCAAGTTATTTTATAGTCCAACTTAATAGATCAGCAAGTTTTTATCTATTTCTTAGAGAAAGTAATAGACATAGATTTAGACATTTTAACAGATTATCTTCATGCAAGCTTACAAGACATCAGTAATAGGTCATAGAATATCATCCACATTGTAACAAATTGTCACCAGCATATTATCAGCAATCCACATCCATTCCAAAAATCTATTAAACACAAAGGTATAATAAAAATAAGTTTTTAGCATTCAGATATCATCAATAATCCATCAACAATTAAAGTAACATATTGTCATAAACATAAACAACCCAACATTAATAGAATTATGTTCCTAAATTACCCTTAAATTACTTCTATCCTAACTTATCTTCCCTAAATTCCCTTTACTTTCTCCCCCTAAGGTTGTTTCACCATAACCAATCTCTTCCTTTTTGTCATTATCAAAAAAATTGAACACCAAGGTGTAGACTTAAGAGGAGTCTGAAGGAGTTGATTCATCTGTTCCATAATGCACACTGAGGGGTTTTGGAGAAGACATAGGTGAGGCATTTTGTGATAAGGATTTAGTAGGAGATGTGTCTAAAACTTGTATTAGA